TATCAATAAAATTATTACAATTGATTTCTAAATTTATTTTGTACTAATATTTTGCAATGTTCTCACACATATTTCGGTATATTTTATTTTTCTGTGTGAATTTTTTTTTTTTTAATATCAATGGGTGACGGTTTTTATTAGCTAGAATAATATTACTAAGATTCATGTTGTTTACAATTTTTTTAGTGAACATTGTGGTGCCGCACAAGTCAAATATCCTATTATGTTTTCCATTTAAAAATCTTTATAATATTTGTGTTGCATGTTTTCTTAACTATAATAACATTTGTAAGATTAAAATTGTGGTCTCACTCATCACAAGCCTAACACGTTTGTATATTGGAACACCATAGCACATTATCAGAAAAGGCAAAACTCCTCTTGGCTATGGCATAACTGGTTCAATGTTTTGGAGTCCTGTTCTAAGTGGATGCAGATAGAAATCAAGAATGGCTGTAACATTCTCATCTGGGACAAGCATTGGATTCCTTCAAAACTTGCACAACAAGTGGAGCTGAACTCTGGAATAAGTAGGAACTTGAAGTGGGTTAGAGATTTGATGAGTGAGGATGGTCACAGCTGGGATTCTGCCAAAGTCAAAAGCTCCTTCCCTGAAGACTGAGCACTGCTATTCTTTCCATTGATACCATTGATCCATCAAAAGAAGATGAGTGGATATGGAGGCTTCTTAAGAAGGGACTCTTCTCGGTCAAATCCACTTATTCTTACCTTATCACACAAAAGTTCTTGAAGCAATGCAGACCCCGGACAGAGTAGCCATGCCCCTGACCTTAAACTCAGAATCAGAAGAAGAAGTTGACAGCTTAAAGTAATGGGTAGAGTAAAACACTTTATTTGGAGATGTTGTAATGATGCTCTACCTGTAGGTACTCAACTGCAGCAAAGAGGACTTCAAGTTGATGTTATCTGCTCCCTTTGTGGAGATTGTGCAGAGTCCATTGTTCATGTTCTTTTTTATTGCAGCTTTGCCAAAGAGGTGTGGAAACATTCTCCTGTCAGTTGGGATGGTCCCAATATCAAAGAGACCTTTAAATCATGGTGGTGGCAGATTCTCCAGATAGACCACAATGAGACTTCTGAAGCCCGTATCTAATTGACCACGTATATCCTTTGGTGGCTTTGGAAGTCTCGAAATCTGTGGCTATTTGAAAGCATCAGAAGACCAGCTCGTGTGGTGATCAAATTGGCTGCAGCAATGGCAAGGTTTTCTAGCTAGTAGGACTGGTCCCTCTTCCTACCTTTAGGCTTTCTTGTTCTGTTTTTCTGCTTTTTCTGTTTTTATGTTGTTTGTTAGTAGTTTGCTTTTGGTTTTCCTCGGTTTTTGGTTGGCTCTTGTGTTTTGGTTTAGTTTATGCTTTATGTTTTTAGTCTGTTCTTGGTTTGTTCTATGGCAAAAGTTCGTTTATGTGTGACCGCTTTGCGCATAGGGTTATTGAGTTGGTGTTTGTTGCGGTCTCTATCTAGCCCACCGTGAGTCGTGCTCCCATTTCTCCGGCATGTACTTGATACATTGTATTTCCTTCTTTGTTTTATGAGAATTTCTATCGCTTGAAAAAA